TATTTTGTCCGTTTGTATACGGAAATCCCACAAGATCTTGACCATCTGTTTTTCGGTGACTTTTTCAGGCTGATGTTCGCACCAGTTTGTTTATTATTATCATTATTATCATTATTATCATTATCATCATCATCATCATCACCATAATTTTTGCATCATTCTTCCTAAACCTCTTTTTTTAGGATGAAATAATGCATTTAGGCATATACTGTACCTCACTTCTATGTGATGAAAAGTTTAGGGGATTCTAGAGTACAGTTTTCTGGAAAGAAAGTAATGAGAAACTAATAAAGTGGAAACACATTTTACAATTTGCATTATTATTTTAAATATATATTGTTTTGTTTTTATTATGCATTATCATTGTCAGAAGGTCCTATAGGCCTTATGGCAAATACAATTGAATAAAAATAAATCAAATATTTTAAGCATGCAGGGCCCAAAATGATTTGATTGTCAAATATATCTACCTGAATTCAGTGATTATCAGTTTTCTTATGCAGATACTATTAAATAATTGTTTCTTTTTTCATAATTCTTTTATGAGAACAAATGTTGAATAATATTTTTAAAATTCTGTTTTGTATACAAAATTTCTTTTGTATAAAATATTAGCCTGCATGCATACCTGCATATTACTTACCCCTCCCCCTGTATCTGCGCACATATGGAGAGAGTGGCCCAACATATCCCAAAAACAATATCAGAGCTCTCTGTCCAGGACTCTGGTAGATGATCTAAGATTGAGAAGACACATTTGACCCCTAAGAGTGAGAAGGGAATTTTTAAAATATTCTAATTTTTCTGAAGAAATCATAGTTCTTACTCCCTCTTTTCTCCCCCACAACAATCCTGTGAGGTAAGTTTGGCTGAGACTGTCCAAAAATTGCCATTACCTTCCATAGGGGAAAGCAGACTTGATCACCTGACTTCTAATCCAATACTTTCTGTGACCGTGTACACTCAGGGGATCATTCTGTAGAAGGTAATATATATAAAATGAGACCCCCAAAAGACTACAGTAGGAAAGATGACCCATAAAAACAGTCGCTTCCTTTGGGCCTCTTACCTGTCTGCCTGTCTATAAATCTATCTATTCATCCATCTGTCCATCTTTCCAGATATCCAATAGAAAACAACATAGTTTTTCCAAACTAGTATTTTTTCTAGTATCCATTCTTTATCTTTAAAACAGAAATGTCCTGCAGCCTCTCTCTGCAACATATCTACTGAAGTCCTAAAAGTAATCAATGCAACAGAAGAATTCATTGCAGAATCCACAAAACTATATGATTTCCCAGCAGAAACATATGAAAGAAGGAACAGAGAATTCCCATTAGGCACAAACCTTATCCAGCTTGATGGGCAGCTCACAGCATTGGAAGAAAATGTAAGAGTGGCAGATATGTAACTGTATGTATATAACTATTCATGGCATTGAATGTTTTGAAAGCGTTAGAAAATGGGAGCACTTCATTTTTGTAGAAAATGGCAGCAATTCATTTGGAATTACTAAAATGACTTTAGGAAGCTCATATCTGATCCCAAGTAGATTCTCCTTAATGTCTGCCTTATCTAAAACATTTGCTCAAAAATAAATAAGAAACTATGCAATATGCTGTCATGATGCACTGTCTCTCTATTTCACATCTTATATCAGTTTTGAAAATTCATTTTCAATGAAGAAATTCATTTTCAATGAGAAAGTGGTGGCCTTTCAACTCCGATGGTCCTTGGATGAAACCGATTATCTGGATTCCTTTCAGTCCGGTTTCAGGCCTGGCTACAGCATGGAAACTGCTTTGGTTGTGCAGATCAATGATCTCTGGTGAGCCAGGAATAGGGGTCACTCCTCTATCTTGGTACTTCTTGACTTCTCAGCGGCCTTTGATACCATCGACCATGGTATCCTTCTGCGACGGTTGTGGGAGTGGGAGGCACCATTCTTCGGTGGTTCT